AGAAAGTTTGTCTGCATTTTGCTCATGTCCAGAGACTTTGCCTAAGACTGAGATTAAGGGCGGCAGTGGACTGATTAATCTGGCAAAAGAAATTTCAAGGCAGTCGAATGTTGGGGCAGTGGCATGGCTATTGTTGGAGGCTTTTAGCCAGATTTATATTGAAAATCAAGAGCAAAAAGCCCAGCAGGATTATTTAAAATGTTGTGAGTTTGGCCAGGAAGGAAGCTCCAGTAATGCTTTGGACTGCAAAGATAAGGCTGAGGAGATCTCTCTTGCTGAGAAGGAACAGGAGAATAGAAAAGATGGCCTGAGGGAATCACAAGCAGCAAGTCTCCACCCTTTGCAGCCTCAAAACTGCAAAGGTGACAGATCTTGCCTTGAGAAGAAAGCTGCTGAGCACCATGTTCCAGAGTGGCGGCAGTGGCCGCACCAGGTTCCAGAATGGCAGCAGCATAGAGGATTTGTTCCTCAGAATTGGATTCAGAGTGCCCAGCGATCCAGGCACTTGACCCCTGTGGCCAAGAGAGAGGAAAGCTTGGCTACTGCTCCAGGTAGCAGCAGACCTTGGCATCATCCCCGTGGCCCTGGCTTTAGGTGCATGGAGAATGCAAGAGTTCTGAGGGTCATGAGGGTTCCACCCAGATTTCAGAAGGCCTGGGAGGCCAGGCAGTGTGCCCCTGAGAGGGCAGTATGTGAGGCTGTGAGTGTGAAGCAAAAGGTTCCCTGGAGACCTCAGAAGTTTAGAAAAGCCAGGACCATGGATCATCTGAGGAAAGCTGCAAGGAGCAAGCAAAGCAGGCCTAAGAGAGAAGCTGTGAAGCTGTAACCACTGGAAATGCAATAGGGGTGGACTCATGCAAGCCCTTTGGAGCTCACAATGTGCCACAAGTTGCTTCAGATGCTGCATGTGGAATTACAGGACATAATGTTAACCCTGCTGGATTTTGGACTTGGTTTGGTCCCAGTGTTCTGTATCCCCCTGTTTGTACCTTTTGGAATGGTACTGCTTATTTTGTTCCATTGAATGTTGGAAGTGTTTAACTTTTCACTTGTACAGGGGGTCACAGCTAAGAGTTTGCCTTCATCTTGGAGATTTGGGACTTGGACTCTTGAGCAGTGCTGAAACTGTTAGGACTTTGGCAACTCTTGCAGATGGACTAAATGCCTTTTGCATAAAGGGATGTGCATGAGTCTTTGGGGGTCAAAATGTTATGGTTCTAATGTAATAGCATATCTTTGTATCTGGAAACTAGTTTAAAGAAATGTATCTGGTTGCCAAGTTGACAAGGGGTGGAGTGTTATGGTTGATACATTGTGTGAACTTGGGGAGTCTAGAGGTTTGGCTAAGTGACTCAGCAGGAAGCCAAGGTGCTTACTTTTTATACATCCTGAGCCTGTAGAAGAGGAGGGCATGGAGATTATGTGAGAGCTACACGCCCCTTAGGTGGGGGTAGCCTGTTTACAAAGTAAGGCAGGGAAGGAAGCTGCTTGCTGCCATTCCTCCCTTTTGTTCTGGCTGTTTGCTGTTCCGCTGCCATTCCCCCTTTGCTCTTGTTGCTTTGTTACTTTCTGCCTTGGAGCCAGCCAAGTATGGACTGAAACCTCCACAAACTGTGAGCTAAATAAACCTTTCCTTCCTTCATTTTGGGCATTGGGTATTTTGTCTCAGCAACGAGAGAAAAAAGTAACCAAGACAGACACTAAGCCTACAAGTCTGATTTCCAAATGGCTCACACTAGGGACTGGACCTTAAGACATCAATTTTTGGGAAATAAAAACATTAAATCTATAATTATGCATTATCTCATAATATTAGCTTGAAAGTTTAATCTACAAGTTCATGTCCAGTAACCGCTGTCCTTGAGCTACCCTCTGCAGATATAGGGATATACCTGTAATTTTTCCAGAAAAAAGAAGCATTTGTCAATAGGATACTGTAAAATTTTACAACCTGTCCCACTGCAGACACCTGCCCTTTACTTATATAATATGCACTGTTTTAAAACTCAGTGCCATCATTTGTTATTTGTTAAGACTTCCTTATACGGTTTGCTTGTAATCCCTCAAAAGTTCTTGTGTTGTACATTTAACCCCCGTATCCTATGTTGAATGGTACTCAGAGTGAAAATTTTGGAATGTGATGCACGACATCATGATGATGTTTCCCACATGACAGTGCACCTATGAAGATATTAATTTATGTCTTAATAAAATATTTACAATCTAAAAATAATCATTTTAAGAAGAAAGAAGCAGGAATATTCTCCATTTTAGATTTTTTTCCTGTCTGTCTTTCAGTAGCAACATCTTGGGTTAGAGACTTAGGGAATAGACTTTGCAGTATATCTCTTGCATGTTGGCTGTATAAAGGACCTAGTCCTCTGACCCAGCTAACAGTACACATTATGGTTATCTTTTATTGTTCACTGTTGAATTTTCTTTCTTTGCCCACCTATAGTAACAGCTTAATTTTCTGAGACAAGACAATATGACGTTTTGAAGTCATATAAAGCAAGCACCTGCACCTGTTGATAAACTGTAGCATTGGCTTGACCAACGGACCAGTAAACAGCAATTGAATCTTGTTTTGAGAACTATAGCTTTCTAAAAGTGTATTATTTCTCTCCAACGAAAGTCGATATCTATGGTCTAATATCTGGGTGAACGACAGTTTCCCCAGCTTAAAGGAACACATTTTTATTGAACATTAGGCATTCCTTTCAGCACTTCACCCTTGTCCTCTCACTTTGTGATGTTCCAACCCTCCACTGCAAATTTTCTCTCTAAAGAATCTGTCTATATTGGGCAGGTTGCTCAGTTTAAACCATTGGAGAAACCTCCACTACTGTGCAGAGTCTTTGAAAATGAATACATTTTCAAATGACTCACACTGGGGACTGGACCTTAACACATCAATTTGTGGGAAACAGAAACATTGACATTGCAGGTGAAAATGGTTAGGTATTTTATAAATGTAACATATTTTGCTGCCCTATAATGCTTTTTGTGAACTGGCAGATCCAGGAAAATATATGCACCAGTTGTTACTTGAATTCACATTTATTTTCTGGTTGGAAATGTAGCCAATTTGATATGCTCAGGAGTTTATCAGAGAATCATTACAATTTTCAGGCCTTAATTACTCCATTCATAAAACTGAAATAAAATCAACTATTTGATGATGATCTTCTCAAAATTTGAAAGTGCAGTACCTTTAAAGAAACAGAAAGACTCATTACATTGTACACAATGCACAACCTATGCAGATACAGATAAAACGAAATGTATGACTCAGATGTTGGGAAAGGATATCCAATGAAAGTTACTAAAAAACCTTACACTCAGGCAAAAATCAAATATATATTGTCAAAAAATGAAGTCAATATGAAGAAATCCCATTTACAAATTACTAAATACTTTATATCTGAGATAATTCTATACTTTTTAATTTCTCGGTGTCCATATAAATCCAAAGAGGCTGCTTATTACCATGCCAAACTCTTTCACATCCCAGAGAAAACCATCATCTAAAGAAATGGCTAAATCACTGTCATGCCTCTTCACCACTTAAAAATCTTTTATTTAAATTCAAGTTTAGTATTAAATTTGTAGCTTATATTTTTCTCAAAAGTCATAGGTATTCAATTGCTGAAGCTTTTACAAGCAAGTAAATTTGCAAATTTTCACTGCTGTACGCTTAAACAGTAAAATCTTACGGAATGATGTTAGTCATTTCTAATTTTTTTTTTTTTTTTGATTAGGAACTTACTGGCTTTCTTTTTTTTTATTTTAGAAATAAAAGGAGGAAAATACTAACAGACCGACAACATTTCTAAAATTTAGGTTAAAGAAGACCATCAGAGAAAGTAGAAAAGGTAGGCTTCAATGTGTGCAGTTTGAGAAAAACTACGTTATTTTGATGAGAATTTAGGCCTACAAAGAAGCATCTCCTCAAATAGCTAGGACCGAATCCTCCCCAGAGTGCCTATTGTACAGGATGAGGAAATCCTGAACAAGGAGACAAAAGCAAGTCAGATCCTTTAAATTGTTAGACATTCTATATCCTGTACCAAGTTTTACTATGAGGAATCAAAGAGAATATTTCATTGTCTTCCATTAGTTACATACACACGAAGTAAGTAATCAGTATATTAATTAACAAAATCAGTTTTAGTAATAAATTCTGAGAATCCTTTTCTTTCTGAATCTGATTACTCCTCATTTAAGAACTAGAAGTAATCTAATCATTCACTCGCCATTGAACACAACACATATATAGTCAAAGGGTGAGTAGGTGAAAGATATTTTATAGTTATAAATGTTAAGAGTAGGTACATGCTATGGATAAAACATAAAGTATATTTAGTAATGAATACAACTGGATATGCTGCAATCACATAAATCAGCCCGTTGAGGAGAAGACATTTTCTTTTTGAAAAGTTAGAAGGCTTGATGCCCATTTTAGAAAACTGTTTTTATATATTTTACTGTTTAAGGACCCTATCAAAGATAGTCAGAAAATAAAACTGCTTCCATATATCCTTATATATCCTCCTGATGCTTAGCATTTAAATGCAGTGAATTTTCAAAGAGGAATTTATTTGTAATAATTTATTTTTATTTAGGCAACAGAACTGAAATTCTCTTTGGGATAATTACACCAGGCAGCTCATAGAATATACACTGCTTCAAAAATATTTTTAAAGAGGTATTTAAAACATATGTGTATGTGTATTTACTTATGTTGTATAGCTTGCTTCTTTCTTTTTTTTTTTTTTTTTTCTGGTCTTTTTGAGACAGGGTCTCCCTACGCAGTTCAGGCTATTCTTGAACTCACTTTGTAGCCCAGGCTGGCCTAAAATTCGCAATGTTCCTCCTGCCTCTGCCCAGCCTCCCAAGTGGAGGGATTACAGACATGTGCCACTATGTGTGGCTCATGTATAGCTTATTTCTATAATAAAAGGAAATTAAAACAATTTTACATCAGTAGTCTAAACAGTAGTTATCAAAGCAAAAAATTCATATTTAATACAAATGTTGAATTTCAAAACACAAACTTAATTATCATGCTTTACTAACATGCAGTGTTTAACCTGGCCCCGGGACCTTCCTCTGCATCTCAGAGAGTCCTGGACAATGTTCCGAGCAAGACGTTTCCATAGGGAAGTGATGCTCCAGGAAGGCATAAGCAGATGTGACACTCTGAATTCTTTCTTTCCTTTAGATGTATTTTGACAAATTATAGAATGACACGATTTATAGGAGATATTAGCTAACTGAAGCTACATAAATCACAAAGAGAGGATAATCACTTTAAACATATGTATAAGGAAAGAGCTCATTAAAATAATACGAGTGATTCAAACACAATCAACAAGAAACCTGTGGACATGAGGTGGAACACACATTAGTGACAGCCCTTCAGCTGCTAAACCATGAAGCAAAGCCATGATAATCTAATCATATCTGATATGAGATCTGCAACATGTGGGGAACATGGGACGATAGAGCACAGAGATTATACTCACAATATGTAACAATGAATTGTGCCCCATCTGTCAGTAATTCTCTGATTCTTGTGATTAGAGCTGTATTTTCAGAGCTTTAGCTCCTTATATTCATTTCAGAATTTGTACTTGGAGGTTTCCCATCATGCTCATATGACATATAGGGATTGTCACCCATTAATGGAGGTAATCTGAGAATATTTATATTTTGGAGTAATGGTTAACAATCTTTTAGTGAAAGAAGCTTGTTACTTTTAAAAGTTTGAGTATCATTAATGTAACTGAATAATTGTAATGAAAACAAGAACTCCATTTAATCTATCTGCCATTGGGCAATAAAAATTCAAAATATATCTAGCATGTTATATAAATGTTAAATTTTAATTTAATAGACTATCTATGCAGTCTGGATGCTGTAATTCTCTACATTTATTATCTAATTTTCGTGCAGTTAATATCTGAAGAAATTATGAACTCTTACACTGGTAAAAATCATATGCCTGTGGATGAGGATCCAGTATTATTAACAGAAATACTCTTGTCAATTCCAGAAAATATATCTTTCCTTGGTGATCTTTATATTAACTGCAAAGTAGCACTTAAAAATTAATAATTGTTTAAAAGTAATAGCTATTAAAAATAATATTATTTAGGTTCCTATATTTTATTCTATGAATATATAGCAAAATAACAAATGAAAGTCTTTGATTCATGACTGGAATTTGGCCAAGATTGTTCCTATATTTTATTCTATGAATATATAGCAAAATAACAAATGGAAGTCTTTGATTCATGACTGGAATTTGGCCAAGATTGTATTGAGGGGTATGCATAGTCTTTAAGGTACTCAAAAGAATTACCTCATCTAGTAGCTTGTAACTTAACTTTCCCAAGGATGATGAAAATGCAGAAAAGATCACATGAATGACCTAAACTCTTTCTCTGGTTGTGACTTGTTTTCCTCTGACACTCACACCCATGCCAGTGCCCAAGTTTTCAATAATCCTGCGATTTCCTGGAGATCCCTAATGTGTTCACTAAATCACAAAATCTGTCTACCAGCGTAGCTGCATGATTAGCAGTACAGATTTGGAGTTCCAGTTCTGTCTGAGGGTGCTTGTTGTGTGTGGCTTTGAACAAGAACAGTAAAGATAAAAATTTCTTGAATTTCCTATCTATACATATATCTCCTTGGAAAGCATGTGACAGGTAGAAATCACCCTAAATGTGTGACTTCGCAGCAACTTCTGGGACTATGAAGAATGAACGTAGTTCAGTCACTGGCGCTACCAAATTCACTGCGAGTGAGCACACTGAGAAACAATTCTGCCCATAGGTATCTTTGCCAGGAGAGATGCCGAGTCCTGGTGCTGTGAGCACTGACGCGGCCTCTGAAGACCTGCCCGCTCCTGGCACTGCCTCAGTCCCTGCTGCGGTTCCTTCCGGTGAGGGTGCTGACCCTGCACAGCGCCATCCCAAGGAGGGAAGAGCGGCAGCACATTTCTCTCCTTGCCCTTGTGCTGCGGCTCTCCCACTTTCCCTAGGAGCAAGCGCAGAGGCCCATTTCCCTTGGTCTACCCTTTACGTTTACGGTAGAGACTGCAGTCTGGAAGCTGACGGACAGTAGTTATAGTTTTTAAGTGTATTACAATGCATTTAGGCTGGGCTTCTCCTTCCAACTGCTTGGAGACCCCTTAGTAATTCTTGCCTTAATCTCAGTTCCCCTGCTTCAACCTTGAAGATATCTGCCTATAAATCAAGCATTTTTTTTTTTTTTTTAACATTATAAGGTAAATTTGTTCCCTGCAGGATTTTTGGTACTACATTTTTATAATCCTTAACAGGTTATTTTAAATTTCCCAAATGTTCATTCCCAGAATGTCTGTGGTTGGAGTTTGATATAGAAGGTATTACTTAAAATAAAATGTGATAAAGAAAAATCTTGCTAACAATGTAAAGTGTTTTCTCCTTCAATTGAGAGAAAATATTGTAAAATCACCTAATACACAATTTTATGACGTATTGTTATCTATCTACAGATAAATTAATGTTACACATTCAACATGCTTTTACACAGACATCTACATTTTTCTCTACAATACTATAATTTATACACTGTCTATCATTTAATGTGTAATGAAAGATATCTTAAGATGATAGAATAAAATTGCATAAATTTTGATATAACTTCTGTGATAGAGATCACTGATTGTTCTCAGGTCCAGGTTTCTTTCCTTCCTTTGTAAGAAAATTCTCAATTTTTAATAAGTTGCCTGACCATCAAGAATTCAGTTTTCCAACCTCACTTTCAGAGAGCTGTGACTCATATATACACATTCTATCATGGCACTGAAATAACGTGAAATGATAGGTTGCCAAATCAGAACAGTGTTGAAATTTGGCTAATATTCTCAAGAACACTGGTAGTGAGAAAAATGGACTGAAACCTGGAAACACAGAGATCTACCAAAGCCACCCTATGATTCGTAGGTTTCCTGCTCCTGGAAGCAGAGTTGACATCTTAAGGTAGGAGGTCCATGAGTGTTGTAGCATTCCACAAAGAACTCTACTTGGTCACAAAATACCTTTGTTTGATTCTCAATAATTACAGTGTTTAAGTGTCTTTGCTGAGGAGTCGTGCTCAAAGACTTCCTAAATTCACACATTCCAGGTTTATTTATGTTTTTTTTGGGGGATACTAGGACTTGTACTCAGGACCTTGCACTTGCCGGACAGGTGCTTATGCCACTGAGCTATATCCCTGACCATCCAGGTATATTTACAATGAACGGTCATGTTTACCAGGTATATCCTGCTAAAACTACTTCAGTGATAAGGAGTGTCTTGTTAATAACAACATTTGCAAATGTGCCAAGTTATTAGCATATTTACAAAAGAATTTAACTTCTTGCTTTTTTATTAGATATAGACTTTAAAAATGCATTTGTAACTTCCAGGATTCCTTCCCATACTGGTGTGCCAAGTAATTTCTAATAATGCAGTTACGTTTAGCATTGGCCAACATGGAGCCCAGGGTTTGGTCAAACAAGCAATAGTTGGCACCTTTGGTATGGAACTGTTGATACACCCATATCCAAAAGCTTGCTGGACTTACTACACTATCTTTCCCCTCTAATGTAACAGTTCCAGAATCTATTTTCATACAGTCCCTGACACTGATTAGTAAGATCCTGTGATTCTTTGAGTTTATAAAGCTTTTCTCCTTTCTAGTTCAAAATTGTGCATAATCTCCCATGAAAAATAGAATATGACATAGTTATAAATCTAGAGGTAATCAGGAGCATGATGAGAAAATTTGGGCAATGAGGAGAATAGCAATGTAAGTGAGGAAAGTGATGTCATTAGAAGTTTCTCACAGCATGCGACTTCTCCTGGCAGATAAAGCTTACATAGCTTGGACTTTGACACATGCTAGTTGATTTGAATCCATCAGTATATCTCAACTGCCCTATTGAGATCTGTCGCTTTAGTAATTAACATGTTAACTTTCATAAAACAGTTCTGAGAGGGTTGTCGATGTCAATGACTCCTACTGCGGTGGTTTATGGCAGTGGGACAGGACCTAGCAATAGCGTGCTTCATGAGATAGGGACGTGTTGTACGTCTGCGCTTACTCTACCCACCTCTCATTCTGTGCTGATGATAGCACTTTGGTTTTTCCACCTGGAAACCCCGCAGCGTTATGCTTGATGTCCATTCCCTCATTCTGTTGGTCACTGGCATCTCCTTTTGGTAAAAAGTGCTAACTCTGAAAAGTAATGGTATATATACCACAAAAATGTCTTCTTAGTACAATTAGATTTGAAAGAGTTAAAGAACTCAAAATAACTTTTAAAGTAGTAAAGAGACACACTCAAACCTAAAGCTCCAAGAATTATTCCCAAAACCAAAACACAGAGCTGATGAGTCAGGTATAGGCTGCCTGTGACCCTGTAAATGAGATTGGGACACACTGCACATTGTTACCAAAGCTGTCATTTCCAGAAGCATGGTTCTTCTGCGAGGATTTTCATCAGTAAACAACCTGACTCCCCATGTCTTGAGCGGGTGAGAGTAACTCCATCTAAAAGTAAAATTCTCTATTGAATTCCTTTCTTACATCATGTAGTTAAAAGTTTATCTGTTTTATAAAATCTAAATTTCCACAACTCTAGTATTAAGAGAATCTGAAAAACAGAAG